TATATGTATATGTATATGTTATATATATATATATATATATATATATATATATATATATGTGTGTGTGTGTGTGTGTGTGTGTGTGTGTGTGTGTGTGTGTGTATATATACATACACAACATACATACATACATACATACATACATACATGCATATTTACATATATATAAATATATATATATATATAATATATATGAAATACGGTGCATTTCAGAAATATGCCATACGTACAATATACAAATTGACGAAATATATTATATTATATAGTATGTGAAAGAAAATGTTTATGCGATATTTTACATCAGCTATAAATCAGCTACTATGCACCTGTACAATTCCCTTAATATAGCTACAAACTACAGCCACTCTGCCTATATATTATTCCAATTTAACTACAAAATACAGTCAATATGCTTATATAAATCCTTTGATAGAACTGCAAGATACAGGCTATATGCGTATACAATTCCTATAATACAGCCGTGAAATACTATATATTATATTTCGTATTGTACGTATGGCATATTTCATAAATATGGCATATTTTAGAAATATGGCATATTTATAAAGAAAATGGCATTGTTTTAGAAATATGGCATATTTTAGAAATATGGCATATTTATGGCATATTTTTAATTAGCATATTTCAATTTTTTTTATACCAAATACAAATATTTTTGACATATTTCTGAAATCAACACGCGTATTACGTATTATTTCCAAATTCCATATCGTATTTCATATTTTATATTTAACGTTTTCAGTGCATATTTTCTTCCCAGTGACTCCACTCTTCGTTTGAAACTATTTATTTGAATTCTATAAAAGTACAGTATCTATTTAGAAGACGCCAAAATACTTTCGTGACTCTCATCAGCTAACCTTACCGGTTTCTTCCCTAAATTTCTGTATCATTTTCTCTCGATATTTTGGAACAAATAAATATATTATTTTTACAAACATGCGACTATTATTATACTATTTTCTTTAGAAATTTATCAAAATAACTCATGTTTAATTAATGATCTTTTCATGACTCTCTAAAAAACGACAAAGTGATTGTTTTTACCACATAATTCTTTTGAAACAATTATTTATAAAAAAAGGTCATTGCTGACGTCATTGATAGAAACCACGCTATCGATAAAGCTAAACCTTCTACCACGGTCACAAATAACGATACGGAGTCTATGAAGCATAGCTTCTTCGGTCGAATGGTCGCGCATTATGTAGGATACAAGTAGTTGACTATACACATTCACTCAATACGAAAGTTACGTTAAAGAACCCCTCGTACTACGTTAGTGAAGAAATGGTAGATTAGGTTTGACGCTTACATCTTTAATTCTCAAATATTTGGGATTTGGACACAAACCCGCTGATCTTGAAAACGAAGAAACATGTATGATTAATACAATATGCCCCGGTACCAACGACTTGTCAGACGGCAAAATTGGTAAAAACACAAGATTCACACCGTATATACGGGCACAAGCTCGGGATTCCATCAAACATTGTTTGATCTATGATGGTGAGAGTTAAGAACCTTTCTCGTTGGATTTATCGACTCGTTCTCCCTCTAGATTTATCAGCTTTATTGGATTTAACACTAAACATAACTATTTAGGCGGTAGCCTCAGATAACTTTTCCAACCGCTCTTAAAATCTAATTACACGTTAGAGGCCGCAGATTTATATGTACCTATTAAAAGTTTGACTGGCATCACCAACATGGTAGCAGCATTTATTTATGATTCGGTTTATATAACATCTATTGAATGCGCAGGTAACTTTTCCAACCGCTCTTCATATCTCATTGTACGTTAGGCCGCAAATTTATATGTACCTATTAAAAGCTTGACTGGCATCACCAACATGGTAGCAATATTTACTTCCTTCGACATTTATGATTCGGCTTATATAACATCCTATTGAACTCGCACATGAGTATTACACACTGATCATTCAATTTCACAAATGAGCCTAATTACTTATATTTATTCTAGAATATTTAAGCAGTGAATTGATGGTATCCAGTAGTGGAGTCCAAATAGACCAAATGAATGTCGCGTTCTACCATATACTCCTTCAGCATCTCCTCTGTCAAACCGTTAATTCCTGGGTACTGGAAGAGCCATACAGGTTTCGTCGAATATAGAATGGGTTCATTTGTGTCTACGTCCCATGGGTAGTAGTTGAACATAGATTCAATGATATAAGCATCGAAATCATCAATCACGGTCGGTTCATTTACGTAGTATGACGGATTCTTCAAAGTTACCTTAACGCCGATAGAATGAGCATAATCCACGATTTGTTGCATATATTCAACATAACGTGGATCAATTCTGTCGTTAGCTGCATATTGGGCAGCCTGAGCATCGTTTTCTGTCACTGCCGTTGATGGCTTTGCGTTATCAGAGGATATCATTGTGTATCCGAGCGCTTTGTAGCTGCTGATAATGTCCTTCATGACCGGTAGAACTTTCGTTACCAATTCATCTGGATTGAAGACATAGTCACCCCAGAGCTCACCCTCACTATTCTGGTCCAGATTCTGCTTCCACCCGAGCTCGACTAGTCTCGAATCGGGCGCATAAAGTGGATTGACTGTACCCACACTCAAGTACGCCATTACATCGACGGCACGACCTCCGTATGTGTGAGTCTTCAGGGAAGAATTCACACGCTCATCCGCAGTCATGGGATCCGCGAAAATAACATCCGCACCCACACAGCTAGTATTCATAGCTTGGCCACTATTTGACCATGCAAGATTGCAGATGATCGATGTCTCTGCATCCCTGCGAGCCGGAACAGCTGATACAGCTGACGCTAAAACAGTGCTGGCGATAGTAATCAAACTGCTGACCCTCATAATGTTATTTCCTAATTGTATAGTTGATTTGAATTAGTGTACTCGGCAACACGAGCCTTTTATACTTTAGGAATATGCGTCGTTTAGGGGAAATGTACAATGCGCACCGCCGCACGTTCTTATCCTCTTTGCCAAACCACTCCAGAGTCCAGGAGTCCAGAGTGTGCCCAAATTTGTTCTTTTTTCTAAATACAAGTATAAAACTTCGAGACTAGGACTCTACTAGTAGAGTCATGAATGTAGTTTGTTGGGATTTTGATTTATTTTTTATCCTCGCGCGCACAGTCGGACATCTACGATTTGCTAATTTTACTAATTAGGTGCGGTGAGGATTTTGATAATAATAAAAAGGTGACCCCGAGACCTGAGCTGCAGAAAATATCGAGAATATGTACATCATCAAATCAGTACTCACGATTATCAAATTCTCCTTTTTCGTATACAGAGGTTGCTTGGTAGAGAAGCTTAGGAAGTCAATCATTTTTAGAAAATTAACTACTTGCATATATGCAAATACTTCGAGTCTCCGAGACTCCGAGTCTCCGAATCTCCGAGCCTCCGACTCGTCGGTCGCGGCTCACGAGTAAAACAAAACAAAAAAAATTTAAACGAATAGGTCGTTAGCCCGTCACCGGCGTCACGGCTTGAGTGTTGAACATTGTATAACTTTTTCATTTTTTTTTTTTAAATGAACAAACAAACAAACAAAAGTTAAATATATAGTTCAATAACTACTAAAAATAGTTGAGTAATTATGGAGTTATATTGGCCTTTCAATGGGTGTGATAGTTCTGAATTTCACCTTTGAGCTTTCAACTTTGAGCCTGGGGCTGGGAGTCATGATCTAAGTTTCAACTTTTGTCAATTGTTGGAGGCTTAACTATAGCAGTATACTTTGTTTTTTATATAAAAATATTAATAAAAGAGAATTATACCCGGCCTGCTGATGAAGGCCAGTCGGTCACCACAATTACATATTAGTCAGTTGTACACAGCACCACCCGATGCAGTTCACCAGCCCCGGAGAGATTGACCTCGAGGCTCTGGAGCTCCTTCTTGAGGGCTTAAAGCGCGTCCTTCACGTGGAGCCTTTATATGGAGGGGGTGCACTTCTTTTGTTCGTATGCAAATGTAGTGGCTAACTGGGCCTGGCTGGTTCATGGTTGACTCTGGTCAA